CCCCCCCAGTTCTGTCTACTTGTTGCTGGTACCCCCGTTTGGCATTGTTAACAACTTTGTTAGTATATAACTAACATATAGAAATAGGAATAGACAAAAGTACCCCTCTGTTTGAAAGGCACATCTCTGTACCTTGTCCGAATTTTCAAACATGCTCCACAAAATATTTTGGCCAAATAAGAAATGACATGATTTTCTAAAGCTGTGTGCTATGTTTCAGAAAAAAAAAGTGACATGATTTTGCTGTAATCAATAGGCTTCCACACAAACAGACTGGAAATAATATAGGGTCACAATGATTCAATGATAGCATAGAGAATAATTCAGCCATGTTCTACAGGACTTCATGACAGCAAAATAAGTGAGTCTTTACCTCACATACATAGGAAATAAAAGTGAGTCTCTACCTCACTTACAGAGCAAATAAAAGTGAGTTTGCATCTCACATACACAACAATAAAAGTGAGTCTCCACTAACAGCCAAGTTCATCACAGCCACAAACAAGCTCAGAGGTCGCTTAATTTCTTCCTCTTAGGTGTCATTTTCTTCTTTCCTTTTGCTGGAGGTTTTGGTGGTGGGGTAGCAGCTTGGCTCCTTGTGACAGGTCCAGGACTAGCTTGAGCTGCAGCTTGGCTTCTTGTGACAGCTCCAGGACTGCTACAAGTGGCATCATTCTTGCTCTTGGTTGGTGTAGATGGAACGGCATTGCTAACGGAAACATCAAACCATGGAGATGGATTCTTTTTCCCCCTACTTTTCCTACAAAAAGAAGCAATTAGAACTATTTTCATGTAAAAGAACCATGGTATTATAGATAGAAAACAGCAACAAGTACTACTATGTACCTTTTCTTTGTTCCATTTTGAGGACAACCAGCTTCTCTATGTCCTATCTCCCCACATTTTTTGCATTTGTTCAAGGATCCTTTCCTTGATCCACCTTCCCACCAACTCTTTATCCTCTGTTTTCTTGTTCTTCCAGCACCTTTCTTCTTGCCTATTGGAATTGGTGGACGCAACACAAAGCCTGTGTCCACGTGTGGCCATTGATTCTTGTCCGTAAGGGGCTCAATTACACCTTCATATGCTGCCCTAAATCTGCTAACTGAGTAGTACTCATGTACATAGTCCTCCATGTTAACAAAGTTGCGAGCTTGCAAGACATTTATGAAGGCTAGTGCATGGTCGCAAGGCTTGCCCGTGTGCTGCCATTGCAGACATGTACACTCATGTGTGAGAGTTTTGACCACATGTCTTTCATCCTCTTTGTTAGCATTTTTCACTTCCCCACTCCAATCAGCTGATGCTTTAGCCTTGAGATGACCTAGTCCTCGAGTCTTTGCATTTAGTTGGTGTATGACAAATGGAAGTATTATCCCTGTAAATCTTTCTCCAATCATTCTTCTTTTTCTAAATAGTTCCATAATCATCTCTCTAATCTTGTCAGCTAGCTGAACAATCGGCAAGTCCTTGATATCTCGCACCCAAGCGTTGAAGCACTCGGCGAGATTGTTATTTATGTAGTCACACTTGATGGCTGTACTTACCCCGGATGTGGCGATTCGGGTCAGGATCGAGCGGCCAGGAGCCGGCCGCTCGTTCTGTCTATTTAGTGGCCGGCCGCTTTTTAGATTTCAGGTTCTAAAATTGAGAAGTATTTACCCCGGATGCCACTAGCAAGTGAATACCCGTTCGCCGTCTTTTCACTAGAAACGAATGAGCTGCTTCGCCCTCGCGCACGACCGACAGGAATCGAGCCTCCCAGGAAGGCAGGAAACGCAGGCTAGGATTGGCCGCCGCCGCCCGCGCCAGCGAACCTCCACCCTCCACCCAGGTACAGCTTCCTCCCTCTTCCTCTTGCTTCTCCTGTTCCCGGCGGCCCTGGTCCGGCCGGCCGGCCGGCCGCCGGCTCCGGCTCCGGCGCACCGGACCTCCTCCCTCCTAGTACTTCCTTCCTCCTCCATCTTCCCTCTTGCCCGTTCCTCCCCTCATCACGGCGGTCCTCGTTCGTGCTATGTTGGCTGTGTTACGTTCCTACCAGTGCAGTGTCTGATGTCACCATCTTGTTGCCATCAGCAATGCTATCAGGTCTCCATTTTGTGCTGTTATTGTTTGTGAACCTCAAAAACCAACGAATGGTTTCTTTTCTTCATCCATGGTGTTGCTCAGTATTTCCTTGGAATTTAAGCTCAAAGTCCCAACCAAAAATTCAGTCTGTTTCATCTAATATCATGCTTCGGTTGCTCCCCTGTCACGCTAATGTCACAACTACTCCCTCCGTTCCTAAATATAAGTTTTTGTAGAGATTCCACTATGGATCACATTCGGATGTATATAGATGCATTTTAGAGTGTAGATTCACTCATTTTGCTCTGTATGTAGTCCACATAGTGAAATCTCTACAAAGACTTATATTTAGGAACGGAGGGAGTAGTATACTTTGAAGGCTAGTGGACTGATAGTTTTGTTTGACAACTACTGCAACTGAAGTATCTGAAATTCCTTGCAGCCCTCTGTACTGAACGTATTGGTGTTATTGTGAAACATTGCATTTGCTGTATTTTGTCACCAGTGTTCATTATTCACTGGTGACTTTGTCAGTAACGGTTCTGGGCAGCTTCTTTCTATTGATATCACTTGCTTGTTGCATTTCTACCGAGATTGATTATCTTTCGGCTTGTAGATTTAGCAAAGCCATGAGTCGCTGCCTGGCAACTTGCAAGCAAAGCCTTTGCTAATCTGTATGCTTGTTTCGTTATGTCATCCAATCTTTGGAAGACCCCATTTTCCTCTCCTGAATGAACAAGCAAAAGCAAAATCATGTCATATTTTTCCTGACTATAAACTGCAGCGTAATTGACATGTTTCATCAATTGTCAAGCTAACCTTTGATTAACATCCTCAAGCCCAGCTGAAGGGAGTCGTACATTTTTTATTTTTAGATAGGTTTGAACAATTGCTTGATAAATGACAGTATGGTGCATCAGTGGTTTATCCCACTGGATAGATTTCTTGCCGAAAACATTTCCAAAATTGCCTGGGTTTCAGCTTCAGTGAATGTCTTGGCCGTGTCATGGAAGAAGAGAAATTAAACAAAAACACACAGAATGAGACGTCATGGAAAGCTGAAGAGGAAGAGAACGAAGATACCATGAACACTATTCGTAGTAGGATAGCAGATGCTTGTCTTGCGATAGCAACATAGGTTAGCTATGTTGATGGAGGTCATCATCATGTGAACAATATGTATTTTCGATGGTGCATGCCTTTTGTAATATTATTATGGGGTCAATATCTATTTATATGTAATATGCAACATCAAAGTATAGTCTTTGAATTGCATATGTGTTAGCTATGAATCATCTTCATTGTCACAAATTTTCTTTGCAAAAGGGTCGTTCCGCCTACCAATGTACAGATCACTGCTTTACAGTCAATTAGCATATAACCATATTCACTCATGGCCCAGGGGCATTACAGACAATCCACAGCCAAATCTACAATTTCACAGTTGTTTCAACCAAACAGCTTCCTGCTTTTCCACAGCTAGAAGTTCACAGCAGCTTTCTCAAAGCTCAGAGCTCACAGCAGCTTTTTCAGAATTTGCAGCTCAACCAAACACAACCTCAGTCCGTGTGAGAGAGAAGCCTCTCGCCGGCTGCTGCCTCCCTCCCTGCTGAGATCTCAGCCGCGCCGCGCTCCCTCTTCCACCGCCTTCCTGTCGAGATTGCCACCGCCTCCCCGTATTGCGTGGCGCCACCACAGCCTCCGCTTTCTCCGTGGAGCTCTGAGCCGCCAAGTCCATAATTCACAAATTGGTGAAGTCCACATAATGGAGCTCAAAAGCCGCTGACACTAAATAGACTTGGCTCGGGGCAGAACTGAGTGGCTAGGACGCCTCCCAGAACCCTTCACCACCGAGCCCGCCCTCCCGGTGGGGCATTGACACAGCTGGTAGGTAAGGTTTCTTCCTTTTCTTTTCTTGCTTGTATGTTCTGTTGCATGATTTGGGCAGTCCTTCAAACCCTAGGTTTTGGGATGGGTGGGGACCACGCAAAGAATTGATGCGAAACTTTGATGCTTGAAGAGATTGTCATAATTTTCGATACCTGAGAACGTAAATTTTCTGTTAGTCATTTTGAGAAGCAACAATCCAATGTTATGCCTATGAGCTATATATTGCTCGCTCACCCAGTTGGTTGGTCTGCCCCTGACTGGTGAGATCGGTTGCAAGCGGTGTGGCATCCGTGATCTCTTCCTCGTTCTAGTGGAGGAACTGCCCTTAATTGCCAGGATTTATAAGGGTTTTGTATACTGTAATCCTAAATCCTTGCTCCAACTGCAGGCTTTTGAGGGATTATAGCCGCAGAAGAAACCTGGCGGGTGGTATGAGCGCCGAGGCAGGCAACGGGAAGGAGGAAGCCAGGAAGACAGGTTTGGAGGGCACCGGACTGCCCCTTCCAGGTGGCTCCCATGGCAGCGTGCGATGCGCTGGCAGCGACCCGCAGTTGAGACAGATGCTTGATTCCCTCAAATCCTCCAAGTCTTCAGTAAGTGTAGATGTTACCTCTACGCGCCTTCGCTTTTTTATTTAATAGCACACATGGTGAAAATACTGATATGCATGCCGGACTACCTCGGTTTAACTGGCACTGGCAGATACGATACTGAGATAGTAAAACCATGTTTCTTTTCTGCCACATGATATCCAGAAAATGAGCACGAAAGGTAAACAGGCATGAGCCTTAAAAAGTAGATTTGTTACTAGAGTATCGATGATCTTTCGAATCCATGGAAATTTGTCACCTGGAAGTTTGTTTTGATTGAACTCTTTGGCTTTGTTCCATTGCAGGCCGTGATCAACTATGGCGCCTCATGGTATGTAACCTTCTTGCTATGTACCTTTTGTTTCTTCTTGCATTGAGAACCTTATACTGTAACTACTAGCAACTACTAAAGATTGTGCATCAATCTTTTGACTGCTTGATGACTTGATACTATTCTTCCCAATTGAGTAATAATCAGTTGTTGCAGCACTATGTCTATCTTATGTAATTCTGCAGCCATTTTAGGATGTATGTGGAGAGTATACAACACACACAGCTAATTATTGAGATTCATATGAGCTAAGCTTTTCCAATGCAAGCTTTATGTCCTAAAGTGGTGAAATCTGCATATGTACAATGCAAGGTGCTTACAGGGTGCTTGTGAAAATGGCTGGTTTTTTATTTAAGCACCGGTGCTTATTTGTATAGAACAGGCGCTTACTTAGGCACCTCTTCTGTAGAAATAAGCACTGACGCTTAAGAAAATTTGGTTTATTAATTATGAGCACCTTGCATTGTACATGGTCCAAGTTATCTACTACTAGCTGTGTATCTAAAGTTTGTTTCATTACATGCTGTATAATACGTACTAGTATGTTGCATAGCTTAGCGGTCTGCCTATCACTACTGTTCGTTAGTGAGAATACATTCCTCATAATGTGATTAACTCGACTCATCCCTGTCGATTACCCAGGTGCGGTGTTTGCAATCAGATTCTTCCACCCTTCTACAAATTCAGCAACGAATTCAAGAATCTTACTTTCGTCTATGCCCATGTTGATGAATGCCCCGAAACAACTCAGAACATACAATACACCCCGACCTTCCATTTTTACCGGGATGGAGAAAGGGTGGATGAGATGTTTGGTGCAGGGGAAGAGAGGCTACGGGATCGGTTGTGGTTGCATTCGTGATTTCTAGGCTTTGGCTTGCAGTGCTGCTGTTTTCATGTACTTAGTTATGCACTGTACCTCGGATTTATCCTTTTTCTGAAGTCTTGTTTGATGTGGAAAGGAAGGGCAATGTTAAACTGATTAGCGTGTTGCTAGTTTCTCTCCCAGGCAGAAGCCATTATTTTTCATTATTTACTCGCAAAGCATTTTACACTGTAATTGAACCATGACTGTAATACATCAGCAACTAATGCTGCTAGTGATGGAAGTGGGTTGTTCTGGTATCTATAAACATGCGCTGCCTGCAAATCTGGGTGCTACTGAAGAGGAGCATTTTCACTCGCAGCTATTCAAAGACCGGGGCACTGAGCACACACTCAGTCAGCGGTGACTAGTGATTGCACGATTGGACATTGTTGTTGTTAGGCGTACAATTGCTGCCAAATGATAAACACCAATGAACACAGCAAAGGAAAGGCTGGCTGATCCTTGAAGCTTTGTCTAATACTGAATTGCTCAAATTGCAGCAATTACCAGCTGTTACACGATTCATGGCCATTCATTCAGAGTATATCAACTGTCAAATATGCCAAATAAACTTGTACTCCCTCCGTTCCTAAATATTTGTCTTTTTAGATATTTTAAATGAACTATCACATACGGATGTATATAGACATATTATAGAGTAGTCACTTGTTGAAATCTTTAGAAAGACAAATATTTAGAAACGGAGGGAGTAGTATATAAGCATAAGAAAATTTACAACTAAAAAACAGCAGACATGTTCCTTTTCAATTATCTGAAGTTCATGCACACCAGCTAACCAACTTATCCCATTTGAACAACCTTCTTCAAGGGTAAGCCGTAATGGTACAAATAAATTAGATGTTACGCAAATTTGGATGCCCTACCCGAAATCTAGATAGTGGCATCATCAAACCATCACCAAACATGAGGCATGAGATTGTGAGCACATCTTGAGAGGCTCCATCCAAATGAATCTCCAAGCAAAAGTATGATTGAACAACAAAGACAACCAACTCTATCAAATTATGTACATCCAGGCTCCTAACAGAATCAGTAGTCAGGGATCATGATTTAGCAGAAGGTTGGGGTTTAGAAACCCGCACTCTCAGCTTCGAGGGGCCAGATTTAGTTCTACTGTTGTTCCGGTCCGCCTTAATGGAAGCAATCACAGCATCAGCCCCAGGACCAAGACCTTTCCTGCCAACTAATTTCACGCCCAGTGTTTCACAGAGGTAATGCAGCCTCATCTCATCACCCCCTCTAACCTCTCTTAGCTCCATAGCCTGCTGCCGCGATAGTAATGTATACACATAGAGCTGCTGCTGCTGGTTGAAATGTGACTGTAGCTGCTGAAACAACGATTTGTTTGAGTGGTGCTGCTCTTTTTTCCCTCCTTCGGTCGCACTTTTCTTCTGAGGGCCACCCAGTTCCACCTTCAGAATGGCTGGAGATTTGGGATCCAAGGCTTTTCCGCCAAAAATGACAGAGAAGCTCCCAAATTCCAAGTCTGGTTGCCTAAACAGGTCTACTAGCAAGGTAGCACAAGCTTGAGCATTTGTAGATGGGCTTTTTACTACTTTGGTCTTTGTTGCTCGGGCGGTGGCATGGATATTGATGTTAGCAGCTTCTCGTACGCCAGTAATAAATGCTCCATGCATCGTTGCAGGGTAACGCCTTGTGGTGGCTTCTCCAGCAAAAAACAACCGGCCGTCTCCAACACTTTCGGCTAATATGTCATAGTCGTCTCCAGATGCTCCAACAGCAACGTGCGAATATGAACCTAGACTGAAAGAGTCTGTGCCCCATCTAGTACAAACACTCTGTAGAGGATCTGGTACCTCAACTCCCTGTGGTTCATAGATACCTGCAACATACAAGCTTCACTTTTTAGACAGAAACCATTTTTGAGCAGTTAAATTCATTGGTACAATATGAATGAACACTACACATTTCAGTGCAATTGCCTATGTGAACGGAACTAAGAATCTGTTCTAGTAATCAGTTGCGAGAGGTATTGAATACCTTATATACTCTGTTACTCCCTCCGTTTGGAAATACTTGTCGGAAAAATGAATGTATCTAGATGTATTTTAGTTCTAGATACATCCATTTTGGCGACAAGTATTTCCGAACGGAGGGAGTACTATATAGCAAAAATGTAAAATTTGATGATAGAAACTATCACATTGAAGCCTTACCTCTTAGTATCTGAAGAACTGAGCTGACAGCGTCAGTTGGAGGCGTGGTTTCAAAGTTGTGGGCAGCCTCACCAGCAACCAAAGCCATCAACAATGGACCACCAGCCACTGTTGCATAGCTATAGAACAGAAAGAATTCCCCTCGACGACTTGGATTTTCAGTCAGATGTCCAAAGGTATCAAGGTCGGTGCTCCAAAAAACATGAGGAAACAACATCGCGACCTTGTTTAACAACCCAAAGCCTAGTTTCTTGATACTATCAAGCTTCCTTTGTGGCAGCTCAGGTACAAACTTGATACCCCCATTTTTCAGAACCCCAAGTGGCACAGTGCAGAGCGCCATGTCCCCTTCATACACCTGACCACCATTGACAACCACCTGCACGCCATCCCCTCCATACCGTATAGTGTGCACTGTCCTCTCGTAAACAATGGGCACATTCTCTGCCAGGGCCTGTACAAGCCTTCCATTGCCACCAGGCAAGAAGCAGTGATCCCCACCCATGTCATACGGATCGTCCTGGTCCCAGAATGCAAAGCTAAGCCTTGAAGATAATCCTGCATTGGCGTACTCCAGATTTGCTATATGCCAATTGAACAAGTTTATCTCCTCCTCTGAGGAGATACCCCCATCAGACTGCCGTAATGTCTCGAGCGCCGCCCCAAGAGAGATATCCATCGCCACATCCCCCATGGCTGCCCGCAGGTGGCTGGCATTATCAAGAAACTTGTTATATGTTCCCTCCACTTCCTTATCCACCTCCGGATCAACTGGCGACCCATCCGGCCGATACAGTGGGCACTTGTCTCTGATCTTATGCATCGGCAAGCCGAGCTGCTTAGCCACAACACCGAGAGGGTTCCCAAATGTGCCGGTAAGCACGCTGCCACCGAGGTCAGCAGCAGCTGAGTGCCCACCACCCTCCATCTTCTTCGTGTACACGCGGCCACCGCACCTCTTGCGTCCCTCCAATACAATCACTTTAAAGCCGGACGCCAGCAAGTGCCGTGCCGCGGCGAGCCCAGCAAGGCCAGCGCCGACAACGATGACAGTGTTGGGCCTGGTGGGCTCCTTGGGGAGGCGCTCCTTGATGGCGGGGGCGACGCCGAAGTTGACGTGGCCGTGGGAGACGAGGAAGTTGTAGGCGGAGGTGAGGAGGTGCTCGCAGTGGGGCGGGATGAGCGAGGCGAAGGGCTCCTTGGCGAGCCATGAGTTGAAGGTCTCGCGCCACCTGGTGAGGAGGTGGTTGCGGATGAGGATGTAGTTGACCTGCTCGATGCCGCCCACGTCCGAGACCACCCCCGCCTCGATCTCCTCGTCGGTGAGGGAATCCGCCGGGAACCCGGCGGTGAGCGCGGTGACGGCCTCCGCTGTCGGCTCCCGGTTGATCACTATGATGTCGTCCGCGGCGGAGGGGGGAACTGGCGGGTGGGGAGCAGGGGAGGCGGCGGAGGGGACTTTGCGGCGGAACCCGGTGCGCTTGCGCTTGCTGGGGCTGGGAAGGGCGGGGATGTGGAGGGCGAGGGTGGGGGCGGGTACCGGGGGCGGGGTAGGGTTAGGGTTTGCGGGAAGGGAGGCGAGGGGAAGGAGGGTGCTGGGCTGCTGCTGGTCGGACATTATCGCCGGCGGCGGCGGCGAGAGCGGCTCCGCCTGCTCGATAAATCTGGGGTTTACACGGGGGCCGTGCAAGGCCGAGCCATGGGCGGCTGTGTGCATCTGTGAGGTGGAAGACGGCAAAGCAGCCAATTTACGCCTTCGAGTGTAGGATACGTAAAGCAGGGCGGTTTGTGAATTACCATCTTCAGAGACGCGGTCATACGGAAATTGACACTTCACAGAAAGCAGAGTTCCTCATCACATTATTCAGCGTGTTCAAAAGAAAAATCACATTATTCAGGAACTAGTGTACAAGGTTTCTGATCACACCATTCTACAGCGATTTTTTCAGAACAAGAACTGGCCTGGGAAAGTACAAAGGATGATCAACCATGCTTGGTTGCAGAAACTAAATTTGTTACTTCAGAATGCTTCGAAGAACAATCCATACTGACGGAAAATATGTGCACACGTACCGCTTTACCATCGAACACCACGCGCTTCGTCTTCAATCGAATCGTAAGATATACACGGACACCATGTTGATCCCAAAACAAGGGCCAGGTGATGATGAAACATGACACTGGGAAATCTGAAGTGGCACTTCACAAACTGCGCTCGGGCTTACATTGCAGCAGTACTCCTGTTGGCAGCAGCATGGCCTCTCCTTAACATTATGACTTCACTGCTATTAGTATGGGATGGCTTCTCATGGTCTAAACCATATGCATCCGAGAAGGGGTCCATGAAAACGCCGACGAATGCAATCAGTGGGTCTGCACGTGCACTGTCGACACATAGCTTCAGGTACCGGGCTTCGACGGCAGGGAACCGGAGCAGCCTCTTGTACCCAATTGTCGTGCCTTCAAGAATTGTTTGCCACAGTCCACCCAGTAGGACATCCACATGGAACTCGATCACACGCTGGCCCATCTGGATAGGCTCCTGGAGCTGGAGCAAGTTGAAGGAAGTGGATCGCCCGAGGTCGAAGAGCATTTCCCAGCTTGTCTGCCCTTCCTGTGGTGCCCAGTAGGAGTATATGCTATCTCGGAGGGCGTTGGAGGGTGCAAACTGCAGGTTCTCCAACCCACCACGCACACTGCTTGCTGTGACAGTCGCGTTGGCAGCAAAGTTGTGAGAGAAAATTGTCTGTCGGATCTCGGTGAATTCCTGAAGGACTTGCATATCTTCGTCGGAAATAAGCCCGGATGAATTGGGAGGAACATTCAATATGAGGAGACAATTTCTACCAACTAATTTGTAGTATATGTCAAGCAGGGTTACAGCACTTTTTGGTTTCTCTGAGGCATGCCAGAACCATCCTGGCCTGATGGAAACATCACATTCTGCAGGAACCCATTCTTCACCAAATTGATCCCCACTTTGTGAGTATCTGGCAATAAAGTTGGCATGCCAGTCAGTAGACTAATTGTTTCTTAAAAGCAATATGCTTGTCAATGACAAGCGAACTCCACTTTCAGTAAACATCCCTCAAAATCAGAACACTGCAGGTTGTACAATTATGAGATGAGATGTCAATGCCAATACGCCATAGAGGCATAGTCTAAAAGTATATGAACCAACTACAGATTATTTCATGCCAATCATTTTCATGGCTGTCGTTGCTACACATAAGTAAAGGAATCAAGTCCACTAGTCCAATTTTTGGTTTAACAAGGGATTTTAACTTTGGAATCTTATAGCTCATTTCATTCTGAGGCAACCCAGTACGTAAATCACATCCCAAAACATGCTGTCTTGATTATGTTTTCTACTAAAGGAGGCACTGTAGTGGGTATTTTTCGGTCCATACATCCATTACCAAATTCTGCTAAATAATAGCACCCTAATTAAGTACTTTCAACCGCCTGATGCCATGAATGAAGCTTACCTTCGAAGTGAAGATAGCTGCAGTATTTATTTAGATCAAGTATTATCATTAGCTGTCTGTTTAGAGGTTATAGTTAGGTAGTACTTTGGAAGGACAATAGTTCCTCAAGATATGCTATCATTACAGTAGTTGGAAGCATCGGTACAAATGTAGTACTGTACTGGGAATGAAAGTTTAACGGTCCGTTCTCATGCATCTTCCAGTAAAGCTATGCAGCATCAGCTGTCTTCCAAATCAATAATTGCACTACAGTACTAATTTTTTCCTCATGCGAAACAGAGAAAAAAAATGGAAGCACGGTTATGTTAAATTATATTTGTCTCCTACTAAATGGGAAGATTATACATACCTTAATTTTTCTACAACTAAGGCATTTCGGCAGTTTGTCAAGAATCCGGAATCCACACAAGAAAAGCTATTGAAATTCCAAGTCTACCTATGGCTAAAGGTCTCATCCATGCTAGGATCTCAACAGAAGTACGTGACATAACCTCTGTGATTGTAAGCTGGGAGATAAGATCTAATGCAGGGTAGGATTTTTGACAAACACTCCAAATTTTTATATACAACCAAATACAATATAATTGTACATAATCCTTCTTTATTCTAAAACTAACGCCTAATGTAGAATCCACGTTAAGCCATGTCACCCTAAAAAGAACAGTTCATTAGATCTTGGTAGTAAAAGATGTCTCGTCGTGGAAAGACATGTCTCTTGGTGAAAATACTTCTTTACATGAAAAGACATACTGTAAAAGAATAAAAAGAAGAACAATAATTTATAGATTAACACATTACAAAATTCAATTTATAACTTCCCAAAAAATGCAACCATCGAGCCTTATTTGTGCTAGAAAACTATATACTACAATGTAACATTTCAATTTATTTATGCATTTCAAGGATGTTTATACTTTTTTAGCAATATGATGTTTATACTTTGCAGCTCTATCCTTAACAGACTACAAATTTTATATGTAAATGTTTTAAAATAGACTACCTAAAATATATAATAATAACCGCACTAAAGCATGGGCTTTACACTAATTAACAATAGTTATCACACCTTTTCCAATTAAGCAGGACTAAATCACTTACTCAGGAATGATATGTCCAATTGTCACAACAGTCTTGTTGAAAGGAGACCAGCAAGTACGGCCCGCAATCCCCGCCTCGTCTCCTACCCATCTAGTATCTGGTCCAGCATCTGAGAAGATAACCACCCTTCGCTGGAGCTGATGGATAAGCGCAAACCAGGCATCAAACATGTAATCCATGTACATGTCGTCGCCCTTTGCACCATCAAGCCAAACTTCCTCCACATCTCCATACCTGAACATATAAAAGGAAGAATTTATAGACTGCTTACAAACAGCTTAAGCACCAAGTCCACCACAAAACATAGGCAAAACATATGGGTACAATCCACACGCTCCACAATCCAGGTACCAAATGTACCACTGTTGATTATGTGTAATCAACCGAGTTCAAAGTAATGCATGAAGCAACATACTAGAAGCATATGCACAAAATGTTAATATCATCATAGAGATAAATTGCAGTAATTTTCACCAAGGAAACACCACAAGGGCCAAACTTCATGTTTTCAATCGAGCAGAACAATAAACACTGATCCAAGATCGTAATCCTGTAATGCTGTAAGAACAGATACTACGGTTTTCTGCAAAGGTCAAGAAGGAAGCCTTTTTCTTTTGAGTTTTCACTCCAAAATCACATCTTCAACGACCTGCATTCTAAACAGTGAAAAAAAAGCGCCCCATAGCGTCGCTAATAGCAAGCTATAGTGTTTTGAGGAATGCCTTGCTAAATACATCTGTGTATAATGTCTCGCTAATAAGCACGCTATAGCATGCTAATAGCATATTTTAAGGGCCACACAATTTGGTCCTAGCACGCTATTTTTTACATTGATTCTAAATTCAGTAGTTCTCCTAAAAAACTGCAAATAAAAGATGGAGCAGCAACAACATTGTAGTAACTCGGATCACACAGATTGACACACCTGGTGAGCAATTCCGTCATTTGGCCCATGTAGTGCTCATTGTACGCGACCGTGTCGCCGTACACCGGCTCGTGGCGGTCCCACGGCGACAGGTACAGCCCCAGCCCGATCCCCTCCGCGCGCGCGGCGGCCGAGAGCTCGCCGACGACGTCCCCCGCCCCACCCCGCCACGGCGAGGCGGCCACCGAGTAGTCCGTCAGCGCCGACGGCCAGAGGCAGAACCCGTCGTGGTGCTTGGCCGTGAGCACCACGCGGCCGAACCCTCCCTCCGCCGCGACGCGCGCCCATTGGCCGGCGTCGAGCGCGGACGGCGCGAACACGGCGGGGTCGGCGTGACCGGAGCCCCACTCGGAGTCCGTGAAGGTGTTGGGCCCGAAGTGGATGAAGAGGGCCATCTCGGAGAGCTGCCACTGGAGCTGCGCGTAGGAAGGGACGGGCAGAATCGGGAGAGGCGGCGGTGTCGCCGTTGCTGCGACGGCGGCGGTGTCGCCGTTGCTGCGACGGCGGCGGCGCCATGGCCGCACAGGAGTAGGTGGAGGTGAACAAGTAACAAAGCGATGGTGGTTGACATTTGGGAGAGAAGAGATTGTTCAGCGTGTGACCACGGTTGACTGATAAAGCCTACCAAGTGAACTTTATGCGAATTTTGCCACCTTCTCTGAGTCACCGCTAGACCACCGAAAAGATTTTTATGTCAAATTAGCACATATGCCCGTGCATTACAAGGGGAGTAAAAGTTAACATGTCCATCAGTGTGGCATGATAGCAATCAGATTCACAACAGGGAGACGCACATCAAATTCTAACAGACATATCAGTCAACCATTAATCACGCAACAACCCTTAACACCGATGCTAAGGATCAATTAGTTCTCCTTATAGTCTTAGCATCTACACTTAGTTAGCTTTACACCTCTATGCATCCAACTTATAGCAACACTGATTGACCTCGCTAGAACACGCGTCCGGCTTGCAGCAATAGCGGTCATCCTCGTTGTGTCCATGTGGCCGTCTTTGCTACGTTGTCTGTGTTACCTGTTGTCCTGGCAGCGTTTATGTAATACAACGGTCCAACTTCCCAATAGAAGGAACAATTTCCTCGTTTATTCTCCATCTGCAACTTTCCTGAGTGCACAGTGGCCCAGTGCCTAAATGCTGATCCCTCCTCTTTCTTTAGAAGGAGATTGAACAATGAGCTCAGTGCTCAATGGGTGAATGTGAGTAAAATGGCTAGAGAGGCTTGTGTCTCAGAGGCCTTCGATGTGATTAGATGGGGCATGGGAGGGAAATCTTCTTTTACTACTAAATCAGTTTACTCTTTCCTGGAAAGGAACATTGCTGGATGCGATTATAGATGGATCTAGAATGCCAGAATACCTCTTAAGATCCAAATATTTTTGTGGCAGCTGTTTTAAGACGCTGTCCTAACGAGAGATGTGATGAAGCATCGAGGGTGGAAGGGAAATCCTAAATGTTCTTTTTGTGGTGGGCGAGAGACTGCTCAACACTTATTCTTTACATGCCCTGTTGCCAGGGTGACCCGGAGGACGGTGGCATGCATGTTTGGTACTGCACTGTGTCCCGATAACATTTGGCAAGCTTACGCATGGTGCTATACGTTCTTCCCTAGTGGGGAAATTTTTGTTGGAAATATGCCCCAGAGGCAATAATAAAAGGATTATTATTATATTTCCTTGTTCATGGTAATTGTCTTTTATTCATATGCTATAATTGTGTTATCCGGAAATCGTAATACATGTGTGAATAATAGACACCAACATGTCCCTAGTAAGCCTCTAGTTGACTAGCTCGTTGATCAACAGATAGTCATGGTTTCCTGACTATGGACATTGGATGTCATTGATAACGAGATCACATCATTAGGAGAATGATGTGATGGACAAGACCCAATCCTAAACATAGCACAAGATCGTATAGTTCGTTTGCTAGAGTTTTACAATGTCAAGTATCCTTTCCTTAGACCATGAGATCGTGTAACTCCCGGATACCGTAGGAGTGCTTTGGGTATACCAAACGTCACAACGTAACTGGGTGACCATAAAGGTATACTACGGGTATCTCCGAAAGTGTCTGTTGGGTTGACACGGATCAAGACTGGGATTGGTCACTCCGTATGACGGAGAGGTATCACTGGGCCCACTCGGTAATGCATCATCATTATGAGCTCAAAGTGACCAAGTGTCTGGTCACGGGATCATGCATTACGGTACGAGTAAAGTGACTTACCGGTAACGAGGTTGAACGAGGTATTGGGATACCGACGATCGAATCTCGGGCAAGTAACATACCGATTGACAAAGGGAATTGTATACGGGGTTGCTTGAATCCTCGACATCGTGGTTCATCCGATGAGATCATCGAGGAGCATGTGGGAGCCAACATGGGTATCCAGATCCCGTTGTTGGTTATTGACCGGAGAGCGATCTCGGTCATGTCTACATGTCTCCCGAACCCGTAGGGTCTACACACTTAAGGTTCGGTGACGCTAGGGTTGTAGGGATATGTATATGCAGTAACCCGAATGTTGCTCGGAGTCCCGGATGAGATCCCGGACATCACGAGGAGTTCCGGAATGGTCCGACGGTAAAGAATTATATATAGGAAGTGCTATTTCGTGAAGGAAATATGCCCTAGAGGCAATAATAAAGTTATTATTTATTTCCTTATATCATGATAAATGTTTATTATTCATGCTAGAATTGTATTAACCGGAAACATAATACATGTGTGAATACATAGACAAACAAAGTGTCACTAGTATGCCTCTACTTGACTAGCTCGTTAATCAAAGATGGTTATGTTTCCTAACCATGAACAAAGAGTTGTTATTTCATTAATGGGATCACATCATTAGGTGAATGATCTGATTGACATGACCCATTCCATTAGCTTAGCACCCGATCGTTTAGTATGTTGCTATTGCTTTCTTCATGACTTATACATGTTCCTATGACTATGAGATTATGCAACTCCCGTTTGCCGGAGGAACACTTTGTGTGCTACCAAACGTCACAACGTAAATGGGTGATTATAAAGGTGCTCTACAGGTGTCTCCAAAGGTAGATGTTGGGTTGGCGTATTTCGAGATTAGGATTTGTCACTCCGATTGTCGGAGAGGTTTCTCTGGGCCCTCTCGGTAATGCACATCACATAAGCCTTGCAAGCATTACAATTAATATGTTAGTTGTGAGATGATGTATTACGAAACGAGTAAAGAGACTTGCCGGTAACGAGATTGAACTAGGTATTGGATACCGACGATCGAATCTCGGGCAAGTAACATACCGATGACAAAGGGAACAACGGATGTTGTTATGCGGTCTGACCGATAAAGATCTTCATAGAATATGTAGGAGCCAATATGGGCATCCAGGTCCCGCTATTGGTTATTGACCGGAGACGTGTCTCGGTCATGTCTACATTGTTCTCGAACCGTAGGGTCCGCACGCTTAAAGTTACGATGACAGTTGTTATGAGTTTTATACATTTTGATGTACCGAAGTTAGTTTGGAGTCCCGGATGTGATCACGAACATGACGAGGAGTCTCGAAATGGTCGAGACATAAAGATTGATATATTGGATGACTATATTCGGACACCGGAAGCGTTCCGGGAAGTTTTGGATAAAACCGGAGCACCGGGGGGTTAATGGGCCTCATGGGCCTAAAGTGGAGAAGAGGAAGGGGCTGCCAGGGTAGGCCGCGCGCCCCCTCTCCCCCTAGTCCGAATTGGACAAGGAGGAAGGGGCGGCGCCCCCCCCCCCTTTCCTTCTCTCCCCCCTCTCTCCTACTTGGACAAGGAAAAGGGAGGGGAGTCCTACTCCCGGTAGGAGTAGGACTCCTCCTGCGCGCCTCCTCTAGGCCGGCCGCACCCCCCCCCTTGGATCCTTTATATACGAAGGCAGGGGGCACCCTAGAAAACACAAGTTGATCTTCGTGATCGTTCCTTAGCCGTGTGCGGTGCCCCCCTCCACCATATTCCACCTCGGTCATATCATTGTAGTGCTTAGGCGAAGCCCTGCGTAGGTGGAACATCATCATCGTCACCACGCCGTCGTGCTGATTGAACTCATCCCCGAAGCTTTGCTGGATCGGAGCCCGGGGAGCGTCATCGAGCTGTACGTGTGCTAAGAACTCGGAGGTGCCGGAGTAACGGTGCTTGGATCGGTCGGATCGGGAAGACGTACGACTACTTCCTCTACGTTGTGTCAACGATTCCGTTGCGATCTACAAGGGTACGTAGATCATACTCTCCCCTCTCATTGCTATGCATCACCATGATCTCGAGTGTGCGTAGGAATTTTTTTGAAATTACTACGTTCCCCAACATTTCGGCCATCGGGACAAGTTTCGGGGTTGCCGGTATTGTACCGGGACCACCGGAAAGGGTCCCGGGGGTCCACCGGGTGGGGCCACCTATCCCGGAGGGCCCCATGGGCTTAAGTGGGAAGGGATTCAGCCCAAAGTGGGCTGGGGCGCCACTTCCCCTCGGACCGGGAAGACGTACGACTACTTCCTCTATGTTGTGTCAACGCTTCCGTTGCGATCTACAAGGGTACGTAGATCATACTCTCCCCTCTCGTTGCTATGCATCACCATGATCTTGCGTGTGCGTATGAATTTTTTTGAAATTACTACGTTCCCCAACAGTGGTATCAGAGCCTAGGTTTTATATGTTGATGTTATATGCACGAGTAGAACACAAGTGAGTTGTGGGCGATATAAGTCATACTGCTTACCAGCATGTCATACTTTGGTTCGGTGGTATTGTTGGACGAGGCGACCCAGACCGACATTACGCGTACGCTTACGCGAGACCGGTTCTCCCGACGTGCTTTGCACATAGGTGGCTTGCGGGCAACAGTCTCTCCAACTTTAGTTGAACCGAGTGTGGCTACGCCCGGTCCTTGCGAAGGTTAAAACAGCACGAACTTGACAAACTATCATTGTGGTTTTGATGCGTAGGTAAGATTGGTTCTTGCTTAAGCCCGTAGCAGCCACGTAAAACTTGCAACAACAAAGTAGAGGACGTCTAACTTGTTTTTGCAGGGCATGTTGTGATGTGATATGGTCAAGACATGATGCTAAATTTTATTGTATGAGATGATCATGTTTTGTAACCGAGTTATCGACAACTGGCAGGAGCCATATGGTTGTCGCTTTATTGTATGCAATGCAATCGCGATGTAATGCTTTACTTTATCACTAAGCGGTAGCGATAGTCATGGAAGCATAAGATTGGCGAGACGACAACGATGCTACGGTGGAGATCAAGGTGTCACGCCGGTGACGATGGTGATCACGACGGTGCTTCGAAGATGGAGATCACAAGCACAAGATGATGATGGCCATATCATATCACTTATATTGATTGC